CCCCCTTACCCCACCCTCTCGCAACCCTGATTTTAATATATTTTAATAATATGGTTAACGACATATAAATTTTGATTATTATATATATTATAATTATTATGTTTATATGATTAGTCAGGATAAGTTCAATAAATTTATTTAATTATTTTTTAAAAAATTAAAATTCAAGTTTATTATATATAGTATTGTAATACGTCATAATGTTAGTGTATTGTAATTGTAGACAATGTTAATAAAAATAATAATAATTAACAGGTTATTCAAACTAATTAACTATATATATATTACTAATATAATACTATATAAGGTTCAAAAAAATACATTTTAATAGACACACTGTAATTATAATAATTTTTTTTTTTGCTAATAATTTAATAATATCAAATAAATCAATATGTATTATATATATATATATATAATAGTTAGAGATAGAGACCTTGAATAAATTAATTAATATATATATATATATATATATATATAATATTATTATTTTATTTAAATTACAATAATATAAATTTTTATAACAATAATATATACTGTTAAATAAAATTAAATACAAGTATATGATATAGTATTATATTGATTTTAAAAAAATTAATTTATAAATAAAGCGATAAATTAATAGGCTATTATATTTTTAATTTTTATAAATTTAAGATATTTTAGTTTTTGAAATTGTAATACAAGATACAATATTTTTGAAGACAATAAATTTATATATATATACTGTAGGCTACTAACTGTATGGCTAATAGTTTTTGTATAAAATTTGAAAAACAATTTGTTTAGTTGGACGGCCAATGATAGTATAACTATAAATAATATTGAAATAAATAATAGTCCGTGCAAAACAAAAAGATAGATTAGTAGGTTCAATGAAAAAAAACTAACAGTGCCGACACTAGTAGTACAATAATTGTGCCCATTATTAGCCAAATGGCAGCCAAATATTTCGACCAAAATTCCCGATTATAGTCACCAATATTACAGCACAGTTGGTTTAGTTCCCATAATAATATAGATAGTAGCGATGTGTGGTTAGCTAATCGGTATTTACTACTAAACCTATTACTACTACTAATTGTTTGTTGACAAACCTAACTGTTTGTTTAGCCAGTGATCGGTGTCTTAATTTAAGGTATCGACACATTAGATAAAAATAGCAAACATTCCCAGTATAGACACTGTATGTCATTTTGGATAATATTAAATAGATTACTATATTATGGGAACCATAGATGAGAAACGATATGAAACCGACATTAAATATAAGTATTAGCAACGATCCGGTAAATGTTGGACTAATATATTTGTTTAGCCAATGATTAGTTTTGAACAATAGCCGAGATATTTGGATAAATTGTTTCAATTCACGGATATCGGTTAGACCGACACTGAGGGGTGTCCGCCGACAACCGGCCAACATATCAAATACTGGCATAAATGTCAAACCATTGTTAGTAACATTGAAATAATAGATACTGTAAATGATTAGACACAACGACAGTGTTAGTATAGCTAATAATCGTATAATAAAATAATTATTGCCACAAAAATATATGAAATCACCGAAAAATATATGCCATTCAATACTGACGACCGACCGATCATTGATACAAAGCAACCATATATTCAATGCGATTATATATAATAGTATCGTTGGATTCAATAGTGGATGGGCTGACCAGTGTCTCAACGGTGTTGCCGATGGTTTAACGTACAAACCTATTGAGTATAGTTGACTATCGGCTCCGACAACACATACTTCACGGGGCAATAGTTTATTTAATTTAATAAAATTCATAATAATTTTTTGTATATGACTATAATATTTTCTTTTTATAATTATAATTACTTATTACTACTGTTACAATAATATTTTTGAAGTCACTAATGTAATGATTTTATTTATTATTTAGATAATAAATATATAATATTTTAATTCTACTATTAATGATAATAATAATATTAAAATACTCTTAATCAAAAATAATAGTTAGCAAAATAAATAATATTTACTGAAATTTACTGCTATATTATAATAATTATTATAATTTATATAGTATAGTTTTTATATTTTATTAAAATGTAATTTTTCAAAAAAAAATTTTATTAAATTATATTGACTTATAATAATTTACGTAATATTATTATTATTAGACTATTGATATATAATATATTACTTTATATTAAAATTAAAATAAAATATGCTGAATAAGTAAACTTATTATAATTATATAAATTTATAACTAATTTATAACTAATAATAATAATAATAATAACTATTAAAAATTTATATCAACTAATACATTATAATTTTATGGATAATAGTTTTGTATAAAATTTGAAAAACAATTTGTTTAGTTGGGCGGACAGTGATAGTATAGTTGTAAACAATAGGACAATAATTATCAGTGCATTTAGATATAGCAAATTAATTAAGAAATTCAATGAAAACAATAGGAGTGCCGATAATAGACAGACAATACTAGTGCCCATTATTAGCCAAATGTTAGCCAAATATTTGGACCAAAATTCCCGGTTATAGTCGCAGACATCTGACGACAGTTTGTTTAGTACAGACAATACAAACAATTTTCGTTTATTAGCTAAACGTATTATTTGACGACTATTTCTATGACGATGTCTACTATTGTCTACTTTTAATAAATTTATTATCATATTAAGTGATTGTAGTCTTAATTTTATGTATAGACATAATAGATAATAGTAGCAAACATTCCATGTATAGACACCGTATGTTATTCGGATAAATATCAAATAGATTACTATATTATGGGAACCGTATTTGAGAAACGGTATGAAACCGACATTTGTTATCAGTATCAGTAGGGATGCGACAAACGATAGACTAATATATTTGTTTAGCCAGCGATTAGTTTTGAACAATAGTCGGGCTATTCGGATGTATCGCCTCATGGCTACGGTATCGGTTAGGCCGACACTCCTGGGTGTCCGCAAACCGGCCAACATATCAAATACCCGCATAAATTTCGGACAAATAGTAGTACCGGTAGTAGTAGTATCAGAGCTATAGCTTAGATAATATAGACCATGAATTACAAGTGCAAACAATAGTAATTGTATTGCCAGTAGACGTATTAATATGTGATTATCGCCACAAAAATATATGAAATCACCTAAAAATATATGCCATTCAATACTGACTCCACGATCATTGATACAGAGTAGCCATAGATTATATACGATTATATATAATAGTATCGTTGGATTCAATAGTGGATGGGCTGACCAGTGTCTGGACGGTTGTGTTGTTGTTGTTGCCGATGGTTTAACGTACAAACCTATTAAGTATAGTTGACTATCGGCTCCGACAACACATACTTCACGGGGCAATAGTTTATTTAATTTAATAAAATTCATAATAATTTTTTTTATATACAATATATAATTATGATTATTAATTACTGTTACCGTATGATATAATTTTTTTATAATTTTTTTTTTGAAGTCACTACTGTAATGATTTTATTTATTATTTAGTTAATAAATATATAATTATAGTATTATAATTTTACTAATAATAATAATAATAATAATAATAATAAAATGCTATTAATCTAAAAATAATAGTTAGCAAATAAATAATATTTTACTGAAATAATAAATTATATTTTTTTCTTACTGATATTATTATAGCCATATTATAATTTTTTTTATATTTTATTTAAATGTAATTTTATTTTTTTTAATTTTTTTTATTAAAGTATATTGAGTCATAATAAATTACATAATATTATTAATAGAAATATTAATTGTGCTTTGGGTGCTTTTTTTAAGTATAATTAAAATAAAAACTATTATTTATAAAAAAAATATATTTTCTGGAAATATATATATATATATATATATTAAAAATATATTTTTCATATGATATATGATTAATAATATATATAATTATCAGTAAAATATCACATCATAAAAATATTAATAATGTAATGATTTTATAATTACAAATCATTTAATTTATATTTATTTTAAATGTATATTAGTAAAAAAATAAGTATTTATAAAAATTTAATGATAAAATATTTTTTTAATTATACTGAAATAACTATAATTATTTTTTTTAAATTTATTTTTATATTGATAATGTTAAAATTGGTTAATAATTTTTATCAATAGTGATAATATATTCTATTTTAGTTATTTTATTTTTAAAAAATAGTCATTTATATAAAATTAATATTTATTGATGAAATTAATATTTATTGATGAAATTAATATTTATTGATGAAATTAATATTTATTGATGAAATTAATATTTATTGATGAAATTAATATTTATTGATGAAATTAATATTTATTGATGAAATAATATAATCATAATGAAATATATTGTATTTATTCCAAATTAGATATCATTTAAATTTTTATTATCAATTATTTTTTTAAAGAAAATATTAGACAAAAATAACCATTTAATAATAAATTTATATATAAATAAAAAATTGTTTTTAAAAAATAGTATAATATATCCATTAAATTTAATACATAAATTTAGATTAATATATATAATTATCTTATAATTTATTAATTTTAATAAACAATAATTATCATATCTATATAAGCAAATATTATTTGTTATTAGGAAGTTATTTATAATTTAATAAAGTTTTTTTTATTTATATAAATATATTAAAGTATTGATTATAATTATAAAACAAAAAATATATATCTATTGAATCAATACTATTAATATATAATATATTACTGTATATTTTATTTTCTATATAAACTTCAAAAAATACGGACAATTAAATTTTCAAAAATATTATTATTATTATACAAAATTATTAATAAATATTTTTAAAAAAATAATAATAATTTTGTTAATATTATATTATTAATTTTGTTGTTGTATTTAATATTAATGTGAATATATTTTAACTAATAATTATTTCAAATAATAAGATTATATGTTATTTATTTATTTATTTTTTTTTGTAAAAAAATGAAATGTTCATTGCTAACAATAGTAATGATTAAATTGATGTTGATCAGTGTAGTTATAATGATAATATTAATTGTCCATGGCGATGTTGTTGATGGTAAAAAACCATTGTACATAATCGGACATATGGCCAATTCAATAGACACCCTCAACCGTATGCTTGATGAAGGTGCCAACGCTATCGAAACTGATCTATCGATTTATGAGGACAGTTATGATTATTCGTGGGTAAAGGATGACAGTACGGGAGGAGGAGGAGGAGGATCGGGTAGATATACGGTAGACTATGATAAATGGATAGATGCCAAATTTAATGAATTAGTAACTTATCATGGTGATCCATGCGACAAAAATCGCAATTGCGATGAAATCCATTGGCTTACTAATTATTTAGTAGATGTTTCAAACATAACAACACCAGGTATTTATAATATATATATATATATATATATATATATATATATATATATATATATATATATATATATATATATTTCAATAAAATATTTATTATATAAAAACAATTAAAAATAAACAATTATTTAATATATATATATATACAGCATTTATATATATTCATCAATTATCTAAGGTTGTGAAAAAATATGTTAATATCTCTTTAAATTAATTGACTGATTTTGTTGCTATATATATATACTGTATATATATATTTATATATATAGATGATATATGTATATAGTATATATAATGCCAATTTAAAGATAAAATTTTAGTAATACAGTTTTTAGTAACTTTATGCTAAGCAAGGTTTCTTAGTATATATATATATATTTATTACCTTATATACAGGTAAGTTACAAACAGTACCTAGCTATATTAATATAATTCAAATTTAAACTTTCAAGTATCATAAACTTTATATAATTGTTTATATATTTATATGAATTATTTAATATAAATATATATATATATAGATATATTGTATATCTAAATTTATTACGTTTTATTAAAATTAATATAAATTTATAAAAACAAAAAAAAATTTTAAAAAGGTAATCAAAATTATCGTGAAAATTTTTTGGCCCTAATTATCGATTTGAAAATTAGCCATATATTCAATCATAAGCTACTGTACGGACTGGGCTATGAAACATGTTTTATAGTGTCGCGTATGTTATTTAAAAACTCAAATGTGGATCATAGTTATAAACAAATTGTCAAGGTGATTTTTTCCAGCGAATGTATAGCGGATATGTATGATTTTTATCAGGGATGCCAAACCTATATAAAACAATATAATGATCGTAAGCTCAGGGATTATGTGGGCTGGGATTTGAGTACTGTTGGCGATTGTCGCTATATTAAGACACTGGGTCTATGGGCTCTATGGTATAATAAAAAATCTCAATTGGGACGTATTGAACATATGTGGCTGGATGAGTTTAACGAAAAAAATGTTTGGCAAGGTGACGGTATTACCAATAGACACTACAGATCGTTTGATATGATCAAACAGGCAACCGGGGCCAGGGATACAAACAAAGTAATAAAAAAAGTATACAGATGGACTATTGATGAGCCCAGGGTCAAAAAGAAAATCATTTTTGGTATTACCCTATGGCAGAGCAACTCTATAGGGGCTACATTAGAGTATGTATACCATAGATATGTTATCTATAACTTAGACAGTATAAGTATAATTTAATTTAATTAATTTTACTATTAGGCGTGGTACACATATTACGTTCGCAATTGAGAGGAGGAGGAGGAGGCTTAGCCAAAGCAAACTTTTGCTGGCGAGAGGGAGGGTAGGGGTTGAGACTTTAAGAACGTTTCATTTTAGATAATATTTTATTTCTTGTGGTGCAGAGAGGGTGGTAGCGGTTAGCGACATGCGAACATAGCGGAGGGAGGGGTCTAGATTTCTTTTTAAAAAATGCGAACGTAATATGTGAACAACACCTTAAAGTTTTAAATTATTTTTTAATAAATTAAAACTCAATTAGTGTGTTTATATTTTTATTTAATATTAAATTTTACATTAATTTTTAAAAATCGGAAAATTTTCAATATATATATATATATATATATATATATACTGTATATAGCAATGATGTTGACGGTGTGATGACTAATACCCCGCGCAATATTATCAACTATATGAACAACCATTGGTCACATAAATACTACCTGGCCACACAACAGGATCCTATATTTCAAGTGGCTAATTAATTAATTATATAAATATTAATTAATATAAGTTTTAATTATTTTTTATATATATATAAATATTTTAATTATTTTGATATTATTAACAATAAACATAATTAGTTATAGTAATAGACATAATATTTCTAATGTATAGATACTGTTAACAAACTTTTTTGCGTAAATACCAAATAAATTACTTTTAAAAATTAATAATAATAATAGAAACCGTATGAAACCTAACATTATGTATTAAAAATAATTAATATTAAAGGAAAATAATTATTTTACTGAAAAAATTTGATTTATATTATCATTATTTTTAATAAAATTTA